TCAGCAGAGGGAAGGGAAACAGCTGAAATTGTCTGGTTAATTTGTAGAGGAGCGGGAAGGGGCGGGGACAGGGTTGTGGAGGCCAAAAAGGCAACAAGGCACAACCCCAGTTTGGCCCCAGACATGAGTTTAAAGCCAGCGGGATGAAGCGTAGAAACCTGGTGGGACCAAAAACCTCTGTCCAAACAACAAACAAACAAACAAATAAATAAAATAAACCAAATACATTAATATATACACATTAATATAAATACAAAGATCGCTAATATATACAACGAAATAGAATAGTAATGATGTTATTGTTATAATCAGTATAGTATATACGATATATAAGATGCGTGTTATAATAAAAATAATAAAAATAAATATGACATCTATTTAAATATTTTATATGTATTATATTTATATATAATAAAAACATCTAAAGCTCACAAAGTCCACTAAACCCTGCTAGTAGATAAGCAACTTCTCCAAGGCTGCTGTCCCTGTTCGAGATGGGGGTGGCTGCAAGTTTCTGTAGAGAGAAATGTAGGGTGGGAGCAATAATTTGTACTGGGTGTAGAAGTGGGGACGGGCTTGATGTGTATTTTAGCGGGGGAATTGCACGATGCTGTTTGGTAACCACACACGCAGTTGTTTCAGGTGTTGACTGGTCAGACCCGGGAGCATCACCAGGATGTGGTGCCGGGTCTGGGACACCGCGGCCGTGGCCTGGCCGGGTCCCGGCCGGTGCTGGCTGGTGCAGCCGGACATGGTTCACCTTGGAGCCAGAACATCAAACAGCGAGCGGGGAAACGCAGGTGCAGGAGGACGAGAGGGGCACTTGGCACCGCGCCGTGGGGAGCAGCAGCTCCCGGGAAGCAAACAGCCCCCCGTGCTCCTGGTGACGAGCGTGTGTTGACTTTTCCCCCTGTCCCTGGGGGAGGACGTGAGCTTTTGCTTTGTTGATTGTGCTTTTTCCCCTGCATGGAGGTTTCTACCTCTAGGGAAGAAAAAAAAAAAAATTGCTGGGTTTTGCTCCCCTAAGTACACTTTGAAAGCAGCTTAAAGTGGTTTTTTGCTAAACTGCGGGTAACACCATGCAGGGACACATCCCCGGCGAGAGCTTTCACCCAGCATCAAACACCAAATCTCAATTTCTTTACTCTCCAACATAAAACAGCATCTGCCACAGCCACATATTTAGTGTCCTTGGGGGTCTTCAGAAACGGGAACAGTGGCTGCTATAGCACCAAAACCCCAAAAGCCCCAGCAAACCCCATGAAAACCCAAAACCCACCAAAGAGGGACGGCCCAGAGCACAGGAGAGTGTCAGGGCTCCCAGCACTGAGCCCCAAGGGCTTTCCAGAGCAGGTCAAAAAAAAGCTTTGTGTTTAAGAACTGCTTCTGCTTGAAAGGAAACCAATTGTTGTGAGGTTTTTGTTGGTTTGTTTTGGGGTGTGTTGTTTTTGGGTTTTTTTTGTTGTTTTTTTTTCTATAAATGCTGATTATTCTTTTTTATTTCTTTTCTTTATTACTTTTTATTTATTATTGCTGGGGGTTGCTGTGGGAAGCAGAAGGGAAGCTCGGGTGACACACGATTTTTCTACAATATGTTTTTAAGAGGCGAACTGAAAGCACGTGTCTGAGAGAACTTTTGGCGCATTTAATTAACTTTAATATCCCGTTCTCCTCTCAGATTCAACTGACATAAATAGAGGCTCCCAAACCTCATACGGTGCCTGAACCTCAGGCAGATGCTGAGGCTGGAAAACATTTTTCTGCATCCCAAAGACCCACATCTGACACGACACAGCTCCAGCCAGCCCTGCCTCAGCCTCTGCTGAACACATTGCATTGCTTGAACTTTGGGGAAGATACTTGATACCGATTTCTTTTAATTGCTGACTAGATTAGACCATTCATCACCAGCTTGAAGAGCTGCTTCCAGGAAAAAATAGGCTAATAAGACACAACTGGGCAATATACGATGGGAATTAATAATTACAGAAATGGTTTATCCAATAGGAATTTCAGGGAAACTGCTAAAACTCCCCACAAAGGAAGTTTCTGCCCCCCTGATTCTTGTCCTTCCTAGTGAGGAGTGTAAAAAGAACTAAAGTCAGGTCTCCACCACCACCTTCGTCACTGGGCTCAGCCCTGCAGACACTTTGGCAGATGAAATGATGCTGCTCAGCTTCACATCCCAAATTTTATAAAGTGCCAGGATAAATAAAAAAACAGGAGGAAGCTCTTGTCTGCTGGGTGCTTGGCATCTACTTTCACTCATTCCCACATTGCATCACCCTTGATTCTTACTGTATAAAATAGAGGAGGGAGGCGAAAGCTAGCTGACAGCATCCATTACATGCAGACGACATCTTGTGAAAGGGATTTTTGAGGCCACAGGCATTTGCCACACACTGTCCTTCGATCCACTCCTCTGCAGAGGATGCTGGAGTTGGGTCCTGCTCCAGGTTGGGGCAGAGCTTTGCTAAGCCACGTGTCGGAGCAGCTTGGCCTGACCACGCCTCAGTTTCCCTATATAACATATAGAGCTTATAACAACACTGTCTACCTTGGAAAAGCACTTTTAAGGTTGCCTGGTGCTATGCGGGCACCCAGCAGCCGTGGGAGAGGGTAAGAAACGGGTGCTGGGGGCTCACGGATGGAGACCCAGAAGCACAAGCCTAAAAATCAATGTTCTTGAAGTTGATGGAGCAGCGGTAGCGGCCGTCGAGGAACCTGGAGCATATGAGGTTGGGCAAACACGGGCAGGTGTGGTGCTGGCGCTTCCCAAAGAAGGGCACCTGAGGAGAGACACGGGAGAGATGCAGGAGAGATGAGGCCATCAGGGCTCTGCTGCAAGCAAGAAATTATCAGATGGGATCAAGGCCCTGAGAAAATCTCTGGCTCTTCTCAGAGGTTTAATGGAGATATGCCTGAAATTAATTTTTGATCCCTCTGAAGCCCTTCACTCCTTCCTTGTGCGAGCAGAAGGCACAACATCATTAAATCTTGCTCCCAACGTGCAAAATCAATATGGGAGCATGGAGAGGGATGCTCCCCCCGAGGCTGGGGTGCTGCTGTTAAATCCTCGCGGAGGAGGAATTGCAGCAGCGTTGCACTTTGGGCTAATCCCAGTGCGCTGGAGGTTCTTATCGGCCAGAAATCACGGCGCTGGGTGGCTCTGCGGCATTAACTCGGCTTCTCCTCGCTTGGCAGAGCACTTATGGCTCAATTTAGAGCAGCATGGTGTGTGCTTTTCTTTTAAATGAGAGGACCAGGCAGCTCGGTCCCAGCCCCGAGTTGACATCTGCAGCAGCCATGGGGCATCCCAAGGATTTAGGGTGGTGCAGACAGGCAGGGGGTTGTTCAAAATACTTTAGAGGCTGAAACCAGCTGCAGCACAACTGCTCAGGGACCGCCACGATGCTGCCCGGAGCCTCATCCCAAATCACAGAATTATGGTTGGAAGAGACCTCAAGGATCATCTAGTCCAACCTTTTTTGGGACAAGCATGGTCTAGACAAGATGGGCCAGCACCCTGTCCAGATGAATCTTAAAACTGATACTGGTGACATCCCAGCCCCCCAACACCAACCCCCTTCTCCACCCCAAGGCTTTAATGGAGCTTTTCTCCCATGTGAGGAGCTCAATGCCCTTTGCCTGGTCCTTGTCCCCCCCTCCCAGCCCCACCGGGCATCCCCACACCAGTACCTTGTGACTGAAGGGGTGGCACTCGTCCCCCTCCTGCCCCAGGGGGGTGCACATCCGCAGCCCCCGCAGCCAGAGGCTGATGGCACAGCAGGTCCCGCTGCCGCACTGCGGGTCCCGCTCGCAGGCCTGGGGAGAGGGACAAGGGTGGGTTAGTGCGACCAGCCAAGGAAAACGTCAGAACCCCTCTCCTGGGGTGGGGGACAGGGGAGAAATCAGCCCGCA